TAAATATTTTGAACGTCGTGATATTTTAAATATTTCCTTATGCTTCTTTTAAATGTATGTACACATAGCATATTTTTATCTAGACAAATTTGAATGGATTATTTATTTAGTATCGTATGACCATTTGTTCCTACAGAAATGTAATGATTAATTTTTAGTTTGTAACAATTGTAGGGTTATTTATTTATATTAATATTAAAAAATATTAGTATACTATTTTTAATTATCCATTTTCAATTTGTAAAGAACTAAAAAAAAAACATAAGTTTATAATCTGTTCTCGATGTTTATGTTTTGCTTCAAAGAGTTTTCTATTTAGTTTAGTTAGTTTTTTATTTAGTTTTCTATTTTTTATTTATTATTTTCTATTCAGTCATTATTAAACTAAAGTTATGATTGGGTAAAGATATAAGTATCTGTATGAAAAAAAGAAACTAAATGATTCGCTTAAATTTTCCATGACGAATTACTACATTATTTCTTTTGACATACATACTTTTTTCATTTTCTTATTTCCCAATTATGAACCATGAAAATATTTATTATTGCAATATATTTTTGGGAGATTTGGTCCCTTGAATGTGTATTCATTTCCCGGTTCTATAAATTAATTAAAATGTAAATTAAACAGTGCATGATATATTAGCAATACAAAACTATGTTACTATACTCGTATACCTAATTTAAGTAATACAAATCTTTATTAAATTATCTCTCCCCGGAGTAAACATTGAAATATCCTATTTAAAATTAACTCAATTTAGAATGAATGGTATTTTAAGGTTGTAGCAAAAATATTTAAAATACACTTTTAGGGTGATATATTTAATGTTATTTGCCTGAATTTGTATTATTAAATTTTGAAAATTATTTAATTATTTAATATTATTATTTTTGTAGTATTCGAATAATTATTCATGGTTAAATTAATTATATAAATTCAGTATAAATAGTAATTTTGTAACTTGAGGAGAATAATGTTTTTTTTTTTTTTTTTTTATTACACAATCTGTAAATATATTATTTTTACAATAAGTGTAAGTGTTGTAGTAGATTTATATAAGAAGACTGGAGACTTGAGCGAAGAACCCATCCAGTGATGGGACTTCTTTGGAGTTGCGGATGGGTTTTATTCAGTCAGGAGGTCCCGACACCATTTTCGTTTCAAACGTCGTCCAGGGTCACCTGGAATGCTGGGGGTGGATAAGTTTGAGATTAGAGGATTACGGTGGTTGGAGAGATTTGAGTGGGATCGTTTATACAGAGTTTTGGCTACGATATAAAGAGAATAATGTAACCTCCAAATATGTAATTTTATATTTTAAATAGAATTAGGGTGTTTAACAACTTTGTGTTATGGTTGTACTTACAGATTTTTCTTAAAATATTTCTTTCCAGAACAATGAATTAATTATAAACTTACATTTTAGTACGATGTATTATAAAATTTAAAATCATGTATAGATCTTAAAGTGTGTTATTTTTTCGATTATCTTAGTAGTTTTCAAAATATTTTTTTTTTTAAAAATAATAACTTTTTAACATTATTTGAACCGTTTGTCAAATTGTTGACATTTTTAAATGTTTAAATTTAAAAATGTAACTTTTATTCTCCACTATTTGCAGCAGAAACAAGGAGAGTCATGCTTTGAAAATTTCTATTCAAAATTTTTTTAGATTTGTCGATTCTTAGATATCATTACATTGTTAGGTATATTTCAAATAAATACAGTGCATTAAATTTACGTAATATCTATTTTTAACACAATTGCTTTGTTCAGAAATTAGGAAAATAATGATGTTTAAAATTTTTACGATTTATTTTAATTTTAATGTTTACGTTATGGTAACTTTTAGAATTATTATATGGAAAATGTATTATAATATATAGTGTTTTGTTACAGTATAAAAGTTTTGCATTATATCGATGTGAACTATTAAGTTTATTTTTAAAGTAAATTAGTATTTCTTATAATTTTATGAATCTATGTTTGATTTTATAATATATAGTTCTTTGTTATTTTATTTATCATCCGTTTTATAACATTTATATATATGTATAATCTATGTAGTATATAAACTATGTGATATATTTTTATATTTTATTCTAATTACATTTTTTAAAAACCTGAATTCTTTGATATATTTTCTTTCGGAATATTTTTAAAATGTTTAAATTGTTGATATTGTAAGCATTAAGTATGTATCTTTAAATTATTTATAATGATATTTTGATTTGTTAAAAATAAATTAAATTTCCTAATTGTTATCATTTAATATTAATAAATTAAACCAACATTAAAACATTATTTATCTTGTAATGACTTATCCTTTTCATATTTTATGTTATATTTTCTATTGGACTATATAACGTTTTTACTTATAATTTTACCGAATGTAACCAACCTAATAAAATGTAATTTGTGTTCCAAAATTCCATTAAATATTATTATTCCATTATACATATATGATAATTAGATATTATTTATAGATTTGGTGATTTCATTACATTATTATTGGTAGATAATCATTATACATATGATATAACACACTAGAAAAAAAAAAAAAATTTAACATAGACCCCGTTCTCCCATAAAATATTTCTATATTTATTATCTATATACATACACAGAACGACTGGCGTCACTTCAATGATAAAAATAATGTTAAAAACAGTCATTCTTCATAACTATTAATTTGAAAATACTATAACAATTTTATTAATTTTACGAAAACAATATTGTAGAAGTATTATTGATTAGTTTGTCATTCGTGTTTTATTAGGTAAGTTATGCTGTGTATAAAGGTTGTAAATGTCGTGTTAAGGGTTGTAACAGTAATGATGTTTTATTGACTGTCTGACCTATTAAATGATATTTTATGGAACGTAGGTAGGAATTTGAAGTCAACCCAATAGATAGTTTTTTTTTCTTGCGTACAATAATTTTATTCAATTTTTCATTGTTATTTAATTAAATGATACATAAATAATTATAAAAATGAACAGTCATATATTCTACTTTACTACTTTTGAAACAATCGATTGAGTTTTGACTCATATTATTCAGCTTAACATGCTGACGTCATTGATGTCCTTAGTCAGCCATATTAAATAATTGTTTATTATTAGAAAAAGAAGAAGAACCTATATAACCTAAGTTAATTCGGATTATTAAAATTATTTTGCTATAGTGAAACTATGTCATGTTTTAGTATGACAAGTATATGATAAAATACTAACGTAGATATCTAACATAAATGTAGTGTAGATTATTTATTGATTTTCAGCCTAGTTAAGTTATTTGCTCCTTCGGTCAAAAAATTATAATTATAGCGTAAAATATAACTTATTTATTTTGATATATTTGTATGCTCATTTGTATATTAACATAATCATAGGTGGGCATTTGGTTGAATTTTTGTGAATGGCTATAATAATTCAATGTAAAATAACCTACAAGGGCTTCGCCACTTCACCCCCTTTTCATACACAAGTAAAACTTATTACCATTAATAATATAGATATGTTTAAATTGTATATTAAAAAAAAACACTAAATAATATATATTTAAAAATAATTAATATTTTATTTTTATGACAAATATCTATTTGTATCAGCAAAGATATTCAAAATATCATTGATTTTTATATTTTTTCAATAAATAGTATTCAAAGATCGCTGAACCTATCTTGAACCAACGATGTCCTTAGCCAAGTTTTTATTTTTTTCATTGGACTGAAACTTCTTTTGCAAGTAGCCCAACTATGTAATTGGTATTTTTAATGCTATTGTTTTTGTTGGTATTTTACGATCTTCAAAAATACGAACATATAATTATAAAAACAACGAATAACATTTCTAACAAAGTTTCGATTTTGAGCGACTATTAAAATATTTGGGGGTCTAAGCCCCCTCCCCCGATGTCCACCTATGAACATAACACTGTAAATTACCAAGTACAAATTACTTTAAGTTTTATAATTAAAGTTATGAATCATCATAGTTCAGCTAATATTTAGTGTTTGCTTAATAATAAATTATATAAAACTGTGAAAACGTTATCAAAGGATTGATTATAATTACAAAAAACGAGTATATATTAAACATAACTCTAAAGATATACATTTTAAAAAACGATTTTACAATGCAACACTTATCATTTTGTTTTGACAGAAATATGTAAACAATAAGTATAATGTCATCACTAATTTTGGATAAAACATTGGTAACTTTCTCAATTATTATTATAACATAATATGAATATGATTACAGCTTTTTAATAATTTGAAATTGAATTGAACTATTTATTCATTATAACTGCAAATTCTTCACTTTTATTTTCTAGAAAATTGTTTTATGACTACAACATTTCGGCAGTTCATATAATTATTAATTTTAAATTCAAGAATACTTTATAATAAAAAAAAAAAATAATCTCAAAATATTATGTATACCAATATTATTATTATGTATTTTCTAAAAAACTAACAAAAATAATTAATTTAAATAATAGATGAGTTAATAGAACCTATCTATTGGTATTTTAACATGATTTTCTCCATTATTCTAATAAATTATAATTTTGGTGAAAAATGACTTAATAAACTAAATTTTAATTAACTTAATAACAAACAATGACTTAATATTTTTATCACTAATTATTTAGGTATATTTTATTTGAAAATTCACTTTCTCGTTTTTCATAGTTGAAATAGTCGTTATTTCAATTAATATGTTCATAATTGTTATAAAATTCAATGTATTAGCTTGAAATATACTTTTTTTTTATCAATTTAAATGCCAGTTTATCCAATTATTTAAAACTCAAAATATAGCCTAATTTATATGATAAAATAATAAAAACTATTAAATTATATATAGATATAAATAAATTCATCGTCTACCTTGTGTAGTAATCGAATGTCTCTAAAATCCAATCCCTTTTCGATAAATAAACTTATTAACAATAGTGTTTTAATAATTATTATTATTGTTTCAGGATGGTACTAGAGCCGAAAAGGGAGGCTAACACTGATGGAATCGAAAATAGAATTCAAAATAAAGGAGTTTTCTATACATGTAACGAAAACCACAAAAAAGATTACGTTCGCATTAAAATTGACATGCCTCCAGCTAATGGTCATTTAGTGAGTTATTTAGTTATTTGGTTTTTAATTTTTTTTTTGTACGGTAATGTTTAAAATAAATATATTTAATTCCATACATTTATATTTATACTTAGTTTGATTATTGAATATTGAAATATTTCACGTTTAACTGTTCTACGCAAGGCTTATATTTGAAAAAAAAATGTAGTTTTATATTATTTTGAATGAAAACGTTTCATGACTTTTGTGTTTATTGTTATTTAAAATTATAACGTTATGTAATTTAAGTTTTGTGTTATTAGTGATTAAAGTAGTATTCAAATTTTTCATTTTACGTTATTTTAATTTAAAATGTTATATAACTTAGTTTAAATTTTTCAATGATTTATTAAATATCTACAATATTTATGATTGATCCTGAGTTACCATAGTATCTTAAAATAATAGGTATTAAGGACAGGAGTAGCTATCAACATAGTTGAGCTGTGGTGTGTTAAGTGACATAACTTATATGAGGGTAGGAGGTAGAACTTGAAATACTGCAAACCAGGTTAACACTTGGCCAGTAAATGGCCAACATTAGAAACCAACTCTGCTAATCCTTGTAACAGATTTATTTCGACTTGTCTGCTTACCATATAATTATTTAGAGGATTAAAAAAATATGAACTACGGTCTACATATATATTTATTAGTACAATACCTATATTATGCTATTTATGTATATCTTGGTTCGTGATATGGATACTTTGAAATAATGTAATAAGAATAATGTAAATTTGACTATATTGTCATAATAGGCATAAATGAATCGTTTTAAATAATTTTCTAAATTGTCAGAATGATTTCTAGTTTGATTTGGATTTGAACAGTTTGTTACTTAACAAACACTACATTTATATTGACATTGTATTAAAACAAAAAACATTCTCATCACGAGATTGGAATTTGTTCTACTTGTGATGATCATAGTTAGAAAAATCAAAAAAAATCACTTTTATCCAGTAAAATGACTTAATTAGTATTAGGATATTAGGTCCATTAAATGTCAATTGTCAAACGAGTAATAACAACATTTGAACATAAATACAACGACAAAACTATAAAGACTACTGCGCAATTTGTTTTCATTGGTTGTGGTGGTATGAGGTGGGGATTAGGGACTATAAATAAAAATAATAATTAATAGCAATATTATAAATATTATCTATATTGGCTATAATTATATCTAAACTGTATCATCGCATTAGGTGACGACCGATTTTTCATTTAAACGTGAATATGACTAAAATACAGTCTTTAATGTTTATCGATTGATAATTATCGATAAATCGTATTGAAAAATATTTCCATAAACATTAAACCAGGACGCGCCACATCAAAAGTGAAATGTACATAACGATCGAGAGAACGCGCTGTTAGGTGTTTTCCCGCGGCGTATGCACGCGCTTAAGCCACGCCCAATACTTTGTGATTATCACAACCAGTCTGATAAATATCCAAGCAGGAATAATATTATTTTACAAACGGTCTTAGTGCGCGAATATCGTAAGCATAGGCGTGCGCACGGGTGCAGCGAATGCTGCTTTCGCTGCACCTGACAATTTATCTTGGATTTAGTGAGCTGGTAGATATTTATTTGAAAGGTATACATAGAATGAATAATTTTAAACATATTGAGTTTATAATTAAATTAAAATATAAATGTTCATCAATGTTATTCAAATGAAAAATGATAATATTATTTTATCAATACAAATCTAAAAATAGATGGATAATATTGGGTAAATTCGACGTATCTACACACTAGATTATACAGTATACAAATACAGACACAACCCCACAATGACAATAGCGCATTAACCATTCAACCAGACGTGCAGTAATACTAAAACGGAATAGATGCCATAATTAGTAATCAGTAATCACATAACCGAATCGATTATTATGTTTGTAATTGAATTACGATTTTTCACTGTTACTGCAGTCTGAGTAGTGTCATTTATTACATATGTGATGTTAAATATATTTATAAAAGTATAAATGAATATACTAAATTTCATAAAAATATTATTACTTTTTATTTACAATTTACTATATTTCTTATAACTATTATAGGTTAGTTATAGAGTGATGAATCTATATAGTGGGGGGATATACCATATAATGATTTGGGTACAAAAGTGATTATATGAAATTATAAAATATTAAATTTTTACACAGTGGGGCTAAAAAAGAATTCGGAGGGGGATGCTATATAAAGGAAATAAGTGGGCCGCTTATTCTTTAGGGCCGGTTAAAAATGTATGCTGCACCCGACACAAAATCCTGCGCACACCTATGATCGTAAGTAAAGGTATTGGTGATTGCACAAATATTTGTAATATTCACGAGCGTCCCTAAGTCATTATTACCTAATAACACAGTTTATTGAAATGTTAGCAAAAATATTTATACTGAAAAAATTGTTCTGTCGTAGCTTGAATTGTGGAAAACACATTGTTATAATTGCTCTTTATAAACTTGCTCGGTTAATGAAGTTTTATAAATCTAAAGAATGGCTAATATTGTTATGAGCAGTGCTCCACTTTTGGGGGGACGCAAGGGGACGGAGTACCCCAACTAATTTTCAGAAATTTTAACGTCCCCCTACTATTATTATGTTAAGATTATAACGCTTAACAAGTTTTGGAAACGCTCTTTTTTTTAAAGTAAATAGAGTCCCCCTTCTTTAATTTTCCAAGTCGAGCATTGGTTATGAGTCATAACTTATTGACTATTGTTAGTTGGATGCGTTGTCAAGTAGTCATAGTTGTCCAAGGGGGAGGGGCATGTGCCCTAGGTCGTCCAAAGTATTATGAAGTTAGTAGAGGGATAAAAATTAATGATAAGAAAAATTCGATGTTTTATTAAAGGTAGGTTTTAATTTTTTCATTTATTCCAAAGTATTTAAGACGATACCTCTCAAATTGTATATTACCTACATATACTCGTATATTATTTAATATGAAATAAAATAAATAATGTGTTACATACCTACAGTGATGTATAAATATTATCGAAGGATTAAATATTATTGATAAAAAATGTAATCTAATACATTCCGATACACCAAATAGTCCCGATTCCATTCAACGTCATCCATGCAATAATACAGTATCTACACGTTAAATGCACACGTATTAGATAAATATAATACTCGTAAAAAACAATAACTCATCGAAAGATTAAAATTGATTATCGTTATTTTTACTTATCTTTTGAAAACGGGACGTTTTAGTGTCCCGAAAATGTTCCTGGGGACAACGGGACTAAGATTCAAAAAACGGGAACGTATGGTCACCTTATATTTTCACCACACATTCTCGTATATTAATAAGGTATATTTATATACTTATTCTATACAGGGTCGTAGTTTTTAATTTTAAAGTCCGTGTTTCAACACAACCCACAGCAAGAGTGCTGATGAGCTGCTACCGTGATAGGACCAAAGGTGCTGAGGTTTAACGGGGTGTGACAGACGTAATGAAATCAAATGCTACACGTCGGAAAGCAGCATATTAATGTCTAATTAAAAATATGCTTCTCATAAAAATTGATATTTAATGAAATTTATATTATTGATATTATTTCCAATAATATGGCTTACTGAGTGGTTTTAGAATTCACATATTATTAATATTGTAGTAAATAAGTTATGTCTTAAAAATGACATATTTAGTTTTACACTTGGTGTTGTTTTAATTTTCTTGTTTTAATTTATGAAATAATAGTTTTAGTGCATGTATATGCAAATAATAGAAAGTATGTATTGTATACATTATTTTATGTTGTACATAAATTATTATACATATTATAAACACATATTTGGTGCGCAATTGTGTTGTGATTTTATCAGGTAAAAAGGAATCGGGGCGCAATCGTGGTGTAATTAGTCGGGTCAAAAAAGGAAAAATTGTGCAATCGTATGCACTGAAAAATTAACCTCATCGATATTTATAATAGGTGGTTTTTCATATTATTGGAAATATAGAAATTAATTTTTCCACCATTATCCCCTACTATTGCTGCCTCTTAAATGGGAGGAAAAATAAAGATATATTAATTTATACAATATAATAATAATTTCCTAATAAACATAAATTTGTTTATTTTGTTTAATCTTTAATGATACTTTATATACAAGTATGTATAAATGTGGACTTGAAATCAATATCGGGCTAAGTGCCAAAAAGTTGATATTGAATTATTCACAATTTTTTTGAAACCAGAGGAAAGTTGTAAAAATATATGTCAATAAAAATGTAAGACCCTTTAATAACTTATACTTAACACTACTCATGAAAATATAAGTTTTATTTCGCCCCTTAAAAAAAAAAAAAAATCTTATACTAAAAAAATGATAAAACGTGTAAAGCCACAATAGTATATTCGGTAAAAATTTGCCAAGTACAAAATCATTTTTTTTATTTTTTTTACAAATTTAATAGATCTCTAATACAGATATTTTGGTAATATTAGACTTAAGTTTTTACAAATAATAAAAAATGTAGAGAAAAAAATAGCTTCATTTACTTAATTAATTTTTCGAAAAATTCTTTATTTTCTTCTTTTAGAAATGGTAGCATTTGCTGAAGATCTTTTTTTTTTTCGACTGATATTATATTTTCACATACCTAGGATGGTAAATCCATCTCTTTTATTGTTTTAACTTTCACACCTTTCTTGATGACTTTGCACGCGCTCCAAGCTTTAAGTTCACTGAAGGTAGTCTTTGTTTGCACCACACCGGGCTTATCTTTTGTTATTTTGAGCCAAGAACATTTTGAAATTAGAAGTTTTCCAGTATTTAAGTACATGGCTGCTGCTTTTTTGAAATCAGAAATTATTGGGTTCTAATAAAGTGACAATAAACGGGTTATTCGGTGTCGTGTGGACAATGAGTTGTACCAAGTCCATTGGAACTTCACACTTTTCAACCCTTTTGCACTTTTCAATTAGGACGAAATCTCTGTCACAGGATAGAAAGGAATGCCCAG